AGTACTTAAAAGAACTATAAGAAGTACTAAGTGTTTGTTAAGGAAAATAAAAGTTTTCCGATAAACCCCAAGTTCCGGAGGTATAAAAATAGCTATAAATTAGAAGAATTAATTTAAGAAGAAGTTTTATCGAACACCAGAATCATTATTTTATTGGGCTTAGTTTTCGGGCTCCAGCAGGAGTCCGTTGTCAGAGGTGGGAAAACAGCAACAAATGAGGTGGCTAGTTCTGGCGTGTGTACGAAACAACTAAAATTTTAACGTGTACAAAATCAATAATTGTGTGATTTGGCCGTCGAATCACCACTGCGGACTATGTCAGTCTGTGCTTGTGGGCGAGATTGGTATGTGGGCATGAATATTTACAGAAAAAAAATCGTCGAAAAAAACAAGCAACATTTATAGGGGAAAGGTCAGTTATGAGTCATAGAAGAGGGGGGCGGAGGGGAAGAAGACCAATTAACCACCAGTGCCATGAGTCTCGAGATACCTGAGCAGGGCAAAATATGCGGGCGCCAGCTCAATACATCGGTTAACTGAGTTGTCATCCGATGCCCATTCTTCGATCAGTTCTCGGCCCGTCTTGCTGTCAGCGTGGGCAATTATCTTCGCGGCTGCGAAGGCGAATTCATGACCCCTCTCGTATAAGTGGGCCGCCGCTTGCGAAAATGCGTCACCCCGTCGAACAGCCAGCTTATGTTCGTGTATGCGCGAACCCAGCTTGCATCCAGTCTGTCCCGTGTAGTTTATGGGACAGTTTAAACATGGTATGCGATACACTACGTCCGACAGCTCACTGGTATTCGCATTGATTAGATATTCGGCTGACGAATTTCTGTCTATATTAACTTTTTCCAAGATAATGTCACAATGAAATTGGAGACTTTTGACAATTTTTTTAAGTTACCTGAAGATAAACGATTCAATTTGACTGGAGATGAAAGAAGTTACTTTTCTCTTTATAATAAATTGTTTTTCTCAGAAGTGGATTAATTCCACGATCTTTTATAAACTTGTGGATGCACAAAAGACTGGCCATATATATATAGCCTCTTTTTGCAATATTTATTATTCTTCTGTCTGTTCGGTTGCTAAATAACGCATAAGCGGAACGTATAATTTACAAAAAAACTGTATTTCTATATGACTAACAATATATAGATGGTCAGCGTAAACCCCCCCAGGCTGGGAGCCGTCAGCTCTCCCGTTCCAGTTCATGTGAAAATGTTTCCCCTATGACGACGAGGACAGAGCAGGACCAGTCGTTCTCGGAGGCGGTGGCAGATAACAGCCTGAGTCGGACTTCAGTCTCCTCAGGAATTCCACCCTCAACAGGCGCTGCAGTAGAAAAACCACAATTTTGCCGAAGTGGAACGATCAACAAAAAGTCTGACAAAGGTAAAACCTCAAAAGAGAAATTAGCGAACATATGTTTTAGTTTTCGATAAATTATGGTCAGGCCTTTATATGGTAATTAAGTAAATAACATATGTGTTGGTAGAAAAAAAGAAGTGCAATTGTCAGATGGGTAGGGAAAGAATCTGATCCGTGTTAGGGAGGGCTGTTAGGCGAGCGAGGTGATAAGCTGCTGGATGTTGGATAAGCGGCTTTCGATCATGGGGACTGCGGTGCTGCTACGAAGTTCTTTTGGGCACGCAGGACCGGTCAGTGTAGCCTGATGGCGGCCGCTTCGGCCGTAGCCAAAAGACGCTGTGCACGGAATTTTGAATAGCTTGAGGGCACCTTGTAGATCACTCTTAATCTACCGGGTGCACTAGAATGGAAGTGTTTATACCCTTTATTTGGTCCTTCCGTAACCATGCATAAAATGTGTTCTCGTTTTCTTTTGGACAAACGCCGGCTCTTGCGAACAATATATCCTGCCCCATAGGAGCAGGTTAATGGATATATGCACATAGAGGTGGTCTGGGTTGGCAGTTCGTCCTTGATCTCTCCGAATATGATGGGAGTAGTCGAGAACAGTACAGAAAGGTGCTGGAAAGGTGCTGGAAAGATGGTTGCTACAGCTTAATTCAGGCGTCTCCTTAGAAGTTCGCTTGGTTCGTGTCCTTATTATGGGCCATGATGAATATTCGTTTCTTCTTTGCTTTTAACACTCAGGGCTTTGGCGGCCTTTCAGTCATGTTCATAGGGATAAATTCACTGAGATACCTATGGTGTCGAAACATGCCTTCACTAATCTTAAACTCTACCTCGATGCTATCAGTCGAGCATATCCTTTACGCTCTTTGCGTCAAACATCGTTTGAAGTTTAACAGTACGAAGCTAGCAGGTAAAGCCTGAACATCTCCCAGAAGAAGCTGTATTTAAAGCCCATGTGATAGAATAAACAGACGCAGCGACTAATCAAGGCATCTCCAAAGTTTTGCATCCATAGATAAATTATGTAAAGGCTCTCGGCATAACATAATTTAATTAATTAATTATTATTTAATCAATAATTCATTTAATTATTTAATTTTAAAGATCTGGCTGACCAGTTCGCTCAAAAACACTTATAAGCTGGTCAATTATAGGTGTTCTAATATCACATAGCAGTTTGGCTAGTGTCTCACAGACCGATGTAGAGGCTAATTTGGAGAGGCCAGTGGATTTAAAAGTCACTATGCAGTTTTAAACTTTACTAAGTTTATAGGCCTAAAGATTCGGGGTTCAGATATGTTATCGCGCCCATCGTCTGCCAAAGAGGAAACAGAAGAGGGGGGCGGGTTTGTGGACCAGATTAAAACTTAAAAGAAGTGTAAGAACTACT